TAGGGATGTAGCAATACACGTATGAGGCTTTCGGTTCGGCACGCATTACAAACCGAATAATACTATTGCATTTGGAAATTAAAACAAGCTTAAATTGTGTGAAATATAATATTCTCAGTGGAGCCACTGCGCTCAACAAGGCAACCTACTTGACGTCGCAGGCAACATGCTGTCTGACAATCCCACCAACAAAGGAAAACGTTATGGAAAACGCAGGCTTTACGAACATGCTGAATGTTATTGAGCCCCGTGACACTACTCATTCACGAGCCCATTTCAGCCAGACCATAATTCCTGCTTTGTTAAAGAAAACAAAAGCCCAAACAGAGAATCAAACTTCCGAAGTACCCGCTATGGCTCTGACAACAGATGGCCGGACGTCACGGACTACATAAAGCTACCTGACTGTAACGACTCATTACCTCACTACTGAATGGGAGATGAAGAGCCATGTTCTTCAGACACGCCCCCTTGAGAGTCTCAGCGAGGACTAGGGACACAAATAGGAAGCTTTGCCCATGTCATAAATCCAGCATCTCAGAAAGCAACGGCAGTGCAGCAGACCTCTTGCCTCCTCCAAAGATCAGAGACATTGCGACCTTCTTTCAAATAAGTACAACGGCAGCTCCTGCACACAAACTAATCCAAGATGTACAAACTAAATGGAATTCCAGTTATATGATTAAAAGATATATTGAGCAGCAGACTGCAGTGTACGCTGCAATGACAGACAAAGCTGTAAAGAAAACTGTTAAACATATTGTGACTTTGACTGAAAACGATGTGAGACTGGTTGAGGATGTCATCACAGTTTTGAAACCCCTGAAAACTGTGACAACCATTATGTGCACTGAGTCCTCTCCATCCGCATCCATAGTCCTGCCTATGAAAATGATGATCCTGAAAATTACGGTACTGTTTGATGATGACAGCCCAGCAGTGAGGGATGTCAAAACAGCCGTCAGGAATGACCTGGAGAAGAGATACACAGACCCTGGTCTTCAGCATTATCTACACAACAGCACTGCTTTGGATCCCTGATTGAAGTCACTGCTGCACTTGGATGCTGCCACTCGCCTGAGAGTCTATGATGCACTCACCACAGAGATTGTGAGCACTGAACAGGTATTATATATCATTCTGCTGCTTACTATATTTTTGATCAATGATGTATTTGCATACCGTGTCATTCTTTTAATCAAATAATGTAACAAATATATTATTATTTATATTTCTTCAGGGCCATGCCTCAGTCACCACCTCTGCAGACTCTGACAGTAGACTTGAAGCCCTCAACATCACCTGACAGGAGGACTCAAGCACCAAGTCTGTAGCCAAAATGGCTGAGGAGGTGAACTCCTTCAAGCAGTTTTGTGCTGTCTACAGAAAATGTGGACTTTCTGAAAAAAAAACTTACAAATTGAGTAGAAACACACACTTACACACTCACAGAGTTCCATATAAAACAGGATTGTTTATTTTGTTTGTATTTGTTTATGACTACAACAAGCAATGCTACATTTTAGTTTTCATAAGAAACTGTTTTTATTTTACACGCTGCTAAGAAGACACCCCAGAAGATGGATGACTCAGGTCTTTTTCTATCATTGTTCATACTCAAAATGATGATGGTGATGTAACAATACAATCAATTTTTGAAGGAGCAGTTGTTTTTTTATATGCTTATATGCTACTAAGAAGACACCCCAGACGATGGGTCACTCACGTGCCATCATTGTTCAAAGTCAAAAAAAGAACTTTATGATGTTAGTTTTAATACTAACTATATTTTAAAATCAAGGAAATGTCTCTGGCATTTCTAGTAGTATATCTAAAAATGAGAAGCAGACTAATGTTAACTGATTATTTTGCACATTGCAATATAAAGGATAGGCTCAGGGTTAGATTTGTTAGCCATGGAGCAAAGTTTGGTATTTTTTACCTGCAACTGGATCCAAATCTGAACCAGCTACATGATACTCAGATAGCACCAAACAGTGAACTAATCTACTGAAATAACATACTTGAGTCTGTGGTTGCTTTTATTTTACTTAGACCTTTCTATAAAGAATCATTTTCTGATAAAATCACATTAGTCCAGACAATGTTTGTATAATGTGCAGGGACTTGCTCTGTTCTTCATTAAAACACATTATGTTAACTCACTCACATTCAGCAGAGACATTCATGATTTTACTTTGTACTAAATGAGCACAACACCAGTTTTTCTCTGAGATGGAGATCAGCTCAGTATATACATGTATGTGTGATTAGCGGGGACCAAAGAGGTGATGATCTGAACTGTTACTGCTCAGCAGGGACGACAACCAGGATGATCTGCAAGGTTCTGTTGAAGGAATCTGGGGTCACAAAGAAAACCAAACAATTACATCATCTCTTAAGTTATAAGGTGACACATAATAAACAGTGTGGTGGAAAAAACTGAGGGGTGATTTGAATTCACAAAGAACATTTACAAGGTTGTAACAATTTGGGAATTAGAATACTAGCAATTACATTAGTAATACATTAGTAATATTGTTACATATTCACAATGCAAAATCAACATGCTTTGTTGCTACCTGAGGGTTTGACTCACCTCCTTTCATGATTATTTTTCAGTTCATAAGCAGGGCAAATGGAACTATTTAACAAGTCCATCAAATGGGGTAAAATTGACTAAAGTGACTTTAAACCATTAAAAAGAAAAATTCTAAAAGGGTTCTTCCCAGGTAGAGAGCTTGAACTTTTGACTCCTGGGAAACCCCTTTCTGTTATTCACCTTTTGGAAAAGCTATTTTAAAGGCAAACATTAGTAAAGAATTTTCTTTTTTTATTGAAATGCCTTCTCATTGGAACCTTTGGAAGATAACAAAAGTATAATTTTTACTAGTGATGTGACCTTTCGTGTCGAGGCTTCGAAGCTTGTGTCGAGTAATCCAGGAAGATTTTTGATGGTGACGTTCGAAGCCTCGCGAACCAGCCGTACCACGTGACTGATTCAGGAAATGGTTCACGGGTTTGGCGTGCGATTCGAAATAAAAGGGGCAGCGAAACGCAATGGATCCCCGGTCACATTTTGTGTACTTAGGACTTTATTGCGCGTTTGTTTACAAACTACTCGAGAAATTGGAAATTGGAATTGAAATTGGCCAATCATAGGCTGAGAAAAGCCTCACCTCGACACAGGCAGACGAGAATGGATCCATGGTTCACAGACACAGAGAGGGTTTAGAGAGGATTCTAGCTCTCAAAATTATGCCAAACTGCTGTATTTGGATAGATTGAATACTATTAGTGATAAAACAAGTGAAATATATAGTTATATAGTATATAAAAGTACAATGGAACAGCTGGAACAGCTGGTTCCAAAATGACAATTTTGCTTGACCTTGCGTGACCTCTCTGTACTAAAACCTCTCTAGCTTTTTTTGCTTCACTTTATCAAAGCAAAAATTTGCAGAGCGACTGCTGACATGTGCTATGATTTTCAAAGAAATAATATCAATAAATGTGCTTTTTTTTCAGGCGAACCTGAAACTTTTCAATTTGAGCTGTGTGCCATCTTCATTTACTATTAACCAGTAACATATACACAATATTTACATATCTGAACAAATCTCACAAGTGTTACCTGTATTATAACATCAACATTATTAAAATATACCTTGTAGTTACAGAATTACAGTATTTTTAGTATGGGTATGCAATTTTCGAGCAGAGGCTTAACAATAGGGCTAGGGTTAAGAAGGTTTAAGGAAAGAGAAAAAAAAGTTTCCTTATTTTTTATTCATGTCATACTTTTATTATTTGTACATTGTGTCAAATTCAAAGACAGTTCACATGGAACACAACAATAAGTATTGTAATGATTTTCAAATAGTTTAGGCAACTGCAGAGGATGACATACATTCATCACATTACGTAGAATTGAAAAGACTCATTGTTTACTTTTATTGTAATGTAAATTAAATTTTCCTTAGGTCAAATTCTGACTTACTCAGGCTGCGCCCTCTATTCGACTCTATGTAGAACACTCTACACACTGTAGTAACCTTCCGTTTACAAGTGGAATAATTGAAATGCCAAATTGTTGGCACTAAACTACTGTTTTGATGTCTTCCAATCAGCCACACCACAGCCGTGAGACTGTTCTTGTAAAGGTCTTCAATGACATACACTCAAACACAGATTCAGAGTCTCTATTCTGAGGCCTCTTCTGTTTTACATCTATATGCTTCCACTGACTCAGATTATGGAAGACAACAAAACAAGTTGCCATAATTATGTAGATTCCACACAATGAACATAACCATATTACCAGTGTACTATGGTCCAATACAAGCACAGGGTAAATGCATTGAACAAATCAACTTTTGGATGTTCTAGAAATTGGATGTTCCAGAATTTCTGGTGTTTTTGGATCCAAGAAGAAAAAAGTCAGCGTTTAGGTTTTTTGGCAATGTTAAAAACCACAAACCAAGCCAGAAGTCTTGATGTACTCATGAAATCAAACCTGAATTTCAACAGGCAAGTACCAAGTCAGTATACGATCATCTTAAGAATACATCAAGTATTAAAGGACTTATGTCTCAGCAGGATTTGGAAAATCTTCAGCAGACTCGACTACTGCACCTGTGTCATCACAGCTTTACCTAAACAATTGATTAGACAGCTGCAGCTGATTCAGAACGCTGCTGCTCGAGTCCGCACTAAGACCCAGAAATTGGATCAAATCACTCCAGTTCTGAGGTCTTTACATCTCTCTTTCACAATTATTGATTTCAAAATACTCCTGTTGGTTTATGAAGCACTGAATGGTTCAGGGCCAAAGTACATTTGTGATCTGTTGCTAGATTATGAACCATACAGACCTCTCAGGTCGTCTGGTTCACTTCTGCTTTCTGTCCCCAGAGTCAAAGCTAAACATTGAGAAGCAGCGTTCACTTATGGACCATATATCTGGAACAAACTCCCAGTAAACTGCAGATCAGCTGAAACTCACTTCTGTTAATTCAAGGCTGAGAGACTTTTCTGTTTGCTGCTGCAGTCAAATAAATCATTTCTTACACTGCACTGTAACTTCTACAGTATTCTTGTATTTTATAGCTGATTCTATTTTCGCTTGTTTTTATTTTATCTTATATTGTCTTCTAAATTACTGTTTTTCATTGTATAATGTCCTTTTATAATGTGTGTCTTTTATACATTGTCTTTTGATTTTCTATTTAAAGTGCTTTGAATTTGCTGAAATGAACGATATAAATAAACTTGCCTTGCCGTGCCTTTCCTATGGGTAATACTCTTCTCCAATCACAAGCCCACTGAAAAGTTGCACAAGCATATTTGCACAATCTGAGGTCCAATTGTTTTTAAGACTCAAACTGTTAGGATCCCTGTCTGCTCCTAGTTTGTGCTCCTCTGTTTTTTCCCCCTGTCTGTTTTGTTATTGTGGGCCATGTGCTTATGTTTTGTTTTTGTGTCAGCCTACAGTTTCTACCCCCGTGTTCCGCCCACTTCACGCCCCTCTCCTTAGGCTCAGCTGTGGCTCATTCCAGTGATCGCCGCTGGCTGACTTAAATACCTCGGCGTTTCACCGGCGCGTCGTCAGTCCGTCCGGTTACCAGTCTGGACACGTAAGTCTGAACGCCGATTCAGTGAAGATCGTAATCTGTTTGTTTTTCTGTTCCTTCAGTATTGAGTGTGGTCGAGTTTCCCTCCCGACTCCGGTGGAGAAAGACGAGTGACTTTAATTTGCTGGACAGTTAGTCTTTGTTTTTGTTTGTTCCTTCTTTGACTCCTCCTGCACTTTTAAATAAAGTCTTGGCTGGAGTAAAACTGCTGTGTGCATGTGTTTGGGTCCACCAACTACACTACCCCATAACATAAACTAGAGTTAAAATATTCCACATTGAGGATTCTATAACGTTTCCAGATGTAAACCTTTCACAATTACGACTTGTCTACCTGAACACGTGTGGACCAGGCTTTGCAACCATAGCTGTATAAAGGGAACTTGATACAGCATTGGAGGTGGGGCCCTGTTCATTTCCATGAAAGCTGCTCATTGGTGCATGAAGCAAAAAAGTTTGACTTATGAGTAAAGCTCCTCCGGCCATCTTCCACATCCAAGGGCCCATAGAGTAATCGCACTAGTGTTTCCTTAACCCCACCTGCCAGCCCTTGGTCCAGCCTCGGTCTCGGTCTCATTCACAGCGGAACACAGGAAGGAAAGTAACTAGAAAATTTCGCAAGAAATTGACAGTGTGGCTTCTACTGCCTGAAGACAGCGCAAGCTACACACGCCGATGTTACCGGTAGTATCGTTGAGGTTTGATTGATATATCACTTTTCTCTTTTCTGCATTTTAGATTATACTCTTGGATTCAATCTTGTATTTGTGATGGACAGTCCACAAATGGCTCCCGTCATTTCTGTACTGACGGGAGCTAACGCTCCCATCATTTCTGTATTCGAGATAAATACATTTGTTTGAGAAGCCTTTGGAAATTATGGGAGCGTTAGCTCCAATAATTTCTGTGCATACCTCATTCTGAGCTTCATGTTAAGATACAGTTACTCTATGGGGCTTTTATTTTGAAAGGGTCGGACTGGGTGGGTAAGAGAGGGAGAGGAGACATATTCATGTTTGACACACAGAGGTTATTAAATGATAGACTTCATCATAAGCTAGAATTCACTCTGGGGCTTTTATTTTGAAATGGGAGGGGGGGTTCTCTAAAAATATCTAAGACCTGAATGACTGTATGATAGAGAGAGAGAGAGAGAGACACACAGACAGACAGATGGTTTAACTATGCCTTTGACTGAATATCTCCGTGTGTGTGTGTGTAGAGAGAGAGAGCCTGCGTGCGTGTGTGTAACTGGTTGCCATGGTGCCTGGTGTTGGAGGCAGACTGATTAAGAAACATTACAGTAAACGGTGATTTTGAACAAAACCTCCTTTTAACAAATTAGCAGGAGTCTGAGTGCCAAAATATGGGTACCGTGAGAAAGATAAGACTCTGCCAAACGCATTGATGTGGTTTTTATGTTTGTGGTGTTAAAAGATCTCGAGAGCAATATACAAAACTGGTACCGTCTGCTTTCTTTGACAAATGAGTGGTCAGATTTAACATGGAGTCCAATGGAGCAGTTGGTTGGAGTTCATGTCGCTCTGCGGCTCTTTGAGCCAAATGTGTAAGTCCGTTGGATTCCATAGACACTTTACTGCGACCAGCACAACATTTCCAAGCTTCTGGGCCATAAATGGTGTATAAAGAGTACAAATTGTGGGAGCTAGAGCAATTTGTTTGGAAAAATCACAGAATATTTTCCTGCTCTGCTCAACTCTGACAGTTATGCTCTCACACTAGCTTTTAACGAGCCGTGCAATACACACCCATTATAAAATCTGAAACGGACCCAAAATTTTCCTGAAATTCTGTGACTTCATGAAAACTGTGCTAGCTATCAAAATGTCCATTTGGCTCAATAAAGTGCAGCGTTTTGTCTACATTTGAAACTTTGAATCATGTTTCTACGTTAATGTACGGCTAGTCAATATGGGCCCAAAGTTAAGTGTTTTTTTTGCTCTCTTCACACCGAAACCCCATTCAAGTGAATGGAGAAATTTTGCTCTGTTTTTTGGGATTTTCGGGAAAACCGCCGGGCGAATCTCACCGAAAAATTGATAGCACACTATTCCCGATAAGGCTGCATGCCGCTGTTGGCAACGCTGTGTGAGGAGAAGCACGCCAAACTTTTGGATAAAGATTATTATTATTATTAAGCCCGCAGGATTACAGTCAGTGTGCTTTGGCATAGGCAGTTTTACTGCCTTTGTGCCACAAAGCCACACTGAACTATGGACTCTGGCATTAGTGCATTTTACAACTTTTAGGTCCTAATGTTTTAAATCAGGGCTAAGTGTTGAGTTGTTGAAGTTGAGTTACCTCCCGAAAAATTATCCAATTAACAGACGTCCATCCATTATCTCACCCTTTTAAGGTCGCAGGGGGAGCTGAAGATGATCACAACAGACATAGGGTGAAGGCAGGGCACACACTGGACAAGTTACCAGGCTATCACAGAGCTGACTCATAGAGACGGACAACTATTCATGGTCACATTCACACATATGGGCAATATAAAGTAAACATTGAACCTAACCTGCATGACTTTGGACTGTGGAAAGAAACTGGAAAACCAGGAGAAAACCGAAAGCTGAAAACAGGGACAACTTGCAAACTCCCCACAGAACCCGGACGCCTCTTAATGTGAGGCAAACTTGCTGACCACTATTACTGGTGCCTATTCTTCCCTTCTCCACACAGGAGATGAGAGGGATTAAATACATTGAGAAAACTATCATACACAGTAAAACGTGCAGTGAAATTCTTAGTTACATTGCTCCAGAATACATCTAACAAATAAACTGAAAGATTTGAAAAATAAATAATGAAACAATGTATCAGTATGAGTCTCAGAAAAAAAACTAACTGAGCAAATGTGTCGGAAGCAATTCCGGCGTTATTTTTCAAATCCAATAATCTTTGCAAAACCATTGGGGTTACTTACGGTGACATTTTTTAGACTAAAGAGCTACTCCTTTGATTTTGTGTTGCTCAAGTTGGGTGACTTGCAAGTGAAAAAGTCATAAAAATTGGTCAAAAGGTGTTGATATTCTAGCTTTTAGTCACTTTTATGAATCAAACTTCAAACACATTGGATATTCGCTGCCAGATAAATACCCTCGCTCTCAAGTTGCGTTCACACCAAAACAAGATGCGAATTATTCGCGCCACGTTAATCACGTCATTCGTGCCGCTGGTCTCGCCGGGGACTATTTGTGTTAATTTGACGTGCCGGAGACGGGGCGTGGCTTATCGCCCTGGAAGCCGTTCAACTGTCCGCCACCAACCATGGAAAAAATAACCTGTATTTCTCTTTAGTACGTGTTGTGGAAGTCCCAGATATCCCGGGAAACTAAACGCCGTCATGTCTGGGTTCATAACACGTCAGCTGGTTTACTACAGCTGTATGAACCCAAAATAAACTGATTTGGCTGTGATTTAACTGCAATAAACGGACAAAAAGGGACTCCGAAATAACTACGCAATGACGTTGATTTGTAAAAAGTCTGAATTCATGTTGTGTTAGTTCTCTCCAAAAGACGACAAGCAAATAACTTTTAAAATACTTGTTTTCTCAATGAAGCTCGGATCGATCGGTGCTAGGCTAAGCTAACATTGTAGCAGCTCCATCAACACTCACAATAACGTCACATAGACGTAAATATGTAAACTCTTTCATAGTTGCTGCTGAATGTGATGTTCCATTGTATAAGCAACGACTTACCTAAAGCCCTCTGAAGCCACTTTGGTCTGTGGTTGAAGTAAATGAAGATGTAGTAGGCAGGGATGCCAGTGAGGGAAATGGCAAATCCAATCCCTGTGTTGACCGGGTCCGAGTACAGAGACAGAAAGACCATGAAGAAACATGTGAGGCAGAACACCACTGGGATGAAGAGCGGGACCTGGGTCAGAAGTCAGAAGTGACGCCTGTTATTATTATCCATATACTGTCTGCAAGCAGATACACACATGTAACCTTTAAACATGACTTAAGATTTTCTCAGCAAAATGAGTAACTACAGATGTGGACAGGGGTGGAAACACTGACCTTAAAGGGGCGGGGGAGGTCAGGCTTTGTATATCGGAGGTAGATTAGGCCCAGCACCACCACACCAATGAACAGCCACCGCAGGAAGCTCATGAAGTTCAACAGGCTGTAGATGTCTCCCACAAACACCTGGAGTATGGTCATAGGGTACTGACCACACTCACACACACACACACACACACACACACACTTAAGAAGTTAAAAGATTTGTATCCAATGTGGGAGAAGCAATGGCTTGTGTAGACAGTCCTATTTCTGCCACGGTCAGTTGTCCATTAAAATCTACTATCAAGACACCTCAAACATGGTCAATTGTTTAACATATGCCAGCATGCAAGGTATATGCAGGTAACCACAGCAACAACATTATGCTTCATATGTTACCACTGGCAATAATTAACATATAATATGGTAAGTATTATTTGTTTCAACATTAGTATTGATGTCCTTGTAGATTGTTGTTGAATGATATTTGCAATTGCTGTTATCAATAGTTGTTATTTCAAATGGGGGTATGAGTAATATTTAGTGTTGTCAGTTTTTTTCTAATGAACAGTTATTGACTTTTGTCATTGTTGTTCAAATTGCAGTAAACTGACCAGTATGAGGACAGCAGCCAGTGGAGTGTGCCTGTGGACATGGATCATAGACAAAACCTCAGGGAGCTGTCCTTCTCGGGATGCTACGAAAAACATTCTGGTGAACACAAAAACACACGTTGCAAATATACATATATATATATATATATATATATATATATATTACACATACACTGATCATCAACTGGCTGACGAGCTGAATGTGTTTTACTGGATTCACACCCTTCACCCGCTCTGACTCTGACATCAATCAACAACCTGCACCCCATTCACCCCCACCCACTGACCCCCAATTGCACTGTGAAGAGGATGTGTGTCAGCTCAGACGAACAGGAATGCACCACCTCATCACCTTCCTGTCTGAAAGTCTGTGCTGACTGTCGTGGTCCATCGGCATCATGTGCATTTATACTTTTTCATATGGATAATTGCAATCAGAAGCAAGGAAAGGCATATTGCTCTCAGCTGCAAAACTTTATGTTTGAAGCATTAGACAACTTAAACGGTTTGTATAGTACCTTATGAAAAGTAACTCCTCATTTTCCATGGCTATTTCAACGAAAGCCAGCCACACATGTCAATTTCCGCTCGTTACATGCATACAGTCTTTAAAAAATAAACAGGAAACAACCAATTCAGGCAACAAAACTACTTAGTTAAGTTTCGGAAAAGAACACGTTTGGGTTAAAAAAAAACTAAAAAACAACTGTGCCATTACTGAAGCAAACAAATTAGATGACTTATCAACGGTGACTCCTCGTTTCACATGGAGAACAAACAGTGGTCTTCCTGGTGGCAGATCTGTAGATATGTATTTCATTACACTTTTGTAAGAAGCTTCCCTGTTTCTCTTCCAATTTGCTATTTTGGGGTCTTTCAAAAGTTATTGTTTGTGAAACTCAACACTGCCTGAACAGATATTTACCATTTACAGCCTTCCTGTGTCTCAAATAAAAAATCCCTCCTATTCCTGGTAGACTTTTAAAATGAAAAATCTGCAGCAAGTGTTAATTTTCCTTGACTGATGGAAGTAGTGCTGTCCGTGGAAATGTATAATTTACTCAATTTACAATGTGAACTGATAGAGTGCAGATAATTTCACCCATTCAATGATTTGTACCCGGTGTTTACTAGTGATTTACTTCAGGCCTCACACTCAACTCTTGTTTAAGACTCAGCCAAACTGAACAAATCATCAGTGCTATATGGCACTTTACTGAATTTAAAATACATATGTTGTGTGTTGTCGTTGGTAATACATGTGAGACAGCAGAGAGGAAGCATCTTTACCTTGATAAAGCGAAGAGGCCGCCATTCATGGATCCGAAGCAGGACAAGGCCACAAAAACCGGCACCACTATCGAGAACTTCCCCATCAGCTTCTCTGCAAAGGTCTGACAGGTAGAGACAGATAGGGAGCAAAGAGAGCAATGATATACGTTGATTCAAGGATGTAATAAGTCACCAACATATATCAGCAGTGTATCTTCCCACAAACTCATGGTATATTATTCATTCATTTGAGAAACTCTGCCCTCATTGTTTTTGTCACTTCAAGGCCTCCTTTTCCAAGTAAAGAATGTATTAATGACACTTTGTTCTTATTAAAGGAGAACTTCAACACTTGAGAATATAACTTGGATGGATAGATAGATAGATATATCTACCTACCTATAGGTAGATAGATGGATGGATGGATGGATGGATGGATGGAGAGATAGATAGATAGATAGATAGACATTCTCTTAAAGAGCTAGAGCATTACCTGTTTAACAACTTAATAACTGTATTTATGAATAGAGGGGGAAAATACTACCACCCAGATGCCAACAGTACAAATGAGGAGGAAAGAGGTACCTCTGGTCACCCACAATATTGCTTTCCTTCATTTTGTCTCATTCAGCATTCCATACTTGGTAGCATTATCCCAAGCAGCTTGCTGTTCGTTTAGACTTACTAGTAGCTTGTTTGTCAAGAAACAGTTACGACAAACCCCACAAATTGACATTTTAATATTTTGTTAGGAATAGGTGACTTTTCTCCTTCCAGACTCCCGTGTCCTGACTCCAGCTCTGAACAACGCACTGACACTTTTGGAAAGAAAGCAAACAGGTGTAGCCTATTCCGCAAAATGTTAGATATTGTTGTAAAAGGGAAGGAGGGTTCCACTGTGAATGTATCAAATACTTCAACTATCAGTTTAGTGAATTGTAGTTTGACCTATTTTTTTTTAACTGTAGTTGGTTAGATGAAATAAGAACAGTTGACAGGGCTGCTGACAGTAATTGTCTTAAATGGGTCATGCAGACGTGGGAGAGAAAGATGCTTATTATTCAAGAAGCCATTCAGTGCTGATTAATCCCAGTCCACGCTATGGACAAGGACGGGCTGTGAGGGAAAAATGTGCATTTGTAGTGTTGGGAATGAAAAGGAGCTAATTAAGTTATCAGCATATATAAAAACTAAATTATTGACATCAATAGAATTTTTAATGTGAGTAAGATTATTAACAATTATTAATATTAACAGGTCTCGCTAACACTAACGATCTCGGTCGTTAATCTCGGCGATTATTGGGCATACACACCTTGTTATAAAAATGACAGTAACTTAAGCAACACAAACAAGATGATAAACACAATGACCAAAATCTGCCCAGACGCCACTAGGAGTTGATTTCGTGGTCTGACCAGTCGGTCCTCCGAGTGATGGGGGAGGTCTGCGGGAAAATTATCCACTTCCTCTTCCAGGAAGCGAAACAAAAACAAAGCAAAACAGTCCATTCGTTTAGCGAATATAAAACTGTTAACCTAGGGCAGGGGTCGGCAACCTTTACTATCCGTAGATAGGTTTGCAGTTTTCAAGGTGTATATTTCAAATTGCATCTATTGCACACATGAAGATAAAGTTGTGAACACGGGCTGAATATCTATTATCAGAATCATTGTAACTGTATTATAACTGCTACTGTGTAAAGGGAATACTGCTGTTAAAAATAACCTTATTTGTTTAAAGTGCTTGCAAACCAAATGTTATTGCACTTTTGTTCATATAGCAGTACTTTTAAAATAAAAGTGCGCAATACACTACTTTTGAATTCATTATTGAATTTCGCGCATAACAATGCTATTAATCGCAAAAAAATCATGCGATTAATGGCGATTAAAATTTGTAATCGTTGCCCAGCACTAATAAATACATGTGACTGGTTCTTGTGAGTTTGTTCTTGTCATTGTGTTAATTACATTGATTTTGACTACATGCATTGTCCATTAATGATGAAGCATCCCGTTAATGATGAAGCATCCCGTCATGCGTGTATTCATGTATCTGTTTTCTTTTACAAAGCAAGAATTATGGTCTGGAGAAATAGGGATTGTGTAGCGATTGCTTTAGCCCTGTTTGAATCGATAGGGAACAGCTAAACTCTGCAGGGAGAGTTTGTAGCATGTGTGCTTGTAGCGTGTGTTTGTGGGTGTTGTTTTCCTGCTAAGCTAGTTTAGCATAGCCTCCCAGAACACACGTGCCTCAGCAGAGTACATGTGTATTGCAGTGGCGTGCCGTGCATTTTATACCTGGGCCTTCAGTGCTGTCCTACTAACGTTGAACCACCTCCTAATAACCTAATTATGATGCCACAGCTACGGTTATTATTAGTTTCTAGGGGTGTAACAATACACGTATTCGTATCAAACCGTTCGGTACGAGGCTTACGAACCGAAAAATACATTTGAATAATACTAGTGCATTTGGAAAATGCAGAAGGTTAAATTGTGGGAAATATAATGTTCTCGGTGGAGCCACTGCGCTTAACCTGGCAACCCACCCAACATAACAGACAACGTGCTGTCTGACACTCCCACCACGTAACAGACAACGTGCTGTCTGACACTCCCACCACGGAAGAACAACATTGTACTCTAGTGAGGCTCGTGTGTTCTGGGAGGCGCGCTACGCTAAACTAGCTCAGCAGGAAAACCAACAGCAGCATGCATGCTACAAACTCCCCGCCGCGTTTAGGCAGTGGTTCCCTACAGATTCAAACAGGGCTAAAGAAATCGCCACGGCCCATTTCTCCAGACGATAATTCCTGCTTTGTAAAAGAAAACAAAGGCCCAAACAGAATCAAATGTCCGAAGCTCCCGCTGTTGCTCTGACAACCGTGGCACCACTGTATTGTATTGAACCTATATATTTCACTTCTATATCACTAATGGTGTTCAATACATCCAAATACAGCAGTTTTGGCTTCATTTTGAAGGCCAGAATCCTATACCGACCAAAATGAGATTGACAGCACTGTTAGCCAATCAGAATCAGCAGGGCGCCGTCCTGTGAGACATGCTTGGTTGTGACGCAAGGCGATTCTAACACTTCCTGCTTGGACTCAGCAACGTAGAAACACCCAGAATGATTTTAGTGTAACACAGGACATAGGTCCAACGTATTTCTGTCTGGAATTACCGGGAAAATAAATATATCGATGAAAAACAGCAAAGGTAAGTGAAATTTTATTCGTTTGATGGAGCGATTTCTGTTGTTTAGTGATGGCGAGATGAAGCTTCATGAAGCATTGAAGCTTTCCATCCAATTGGTTCACTCGTGGGCCGAAGTTTCATGGCGCTTCATTTGCTCTACTACGCCATCAAGTGGACAATAAATGTGTGTGTGGCTTTGGTGTGTGAAGTTTTGAATTGAATAAATAAATTAATGATGTTTGTGATGCTCAAATAGATTGCAAACAAATGCGCAATAAAGTCCCAAGTTCACAAAATGTAAGGGGGGATCCATTGCGTTTTGCTGCCCCTTATATTTTGAATCGCACGCCAAACCCACGAACCATTTCCTGAATCAGTCACGTGGTACAGCTGGCTCGCGAGGCTTCGGACGTCACCACATACGTCACCAACACAAGCCTCGATACGCGCTTCACAAAAATCTTCCTGGATTACTCGACACAAGCTGATGCTTTGTTGTAGCTGGATTTAATGTGCGGAATCTGTGGAGTGTCTGCTTTCTTTTGAGATATCGTGTGTGCGTACTGCATAAAATACCACAGAGGTAGAGCCAGAAATGTGGCGAGTGGGTTGACTAGGTGGCGCTATATGGATTTTGATATTTGGTCATTCATTTAGATAATGTTTGAGTTGTGTTTGGAGCATGTAAAAACGGCTTACATATTCTTGTATCCCAGGTTCTGCTGTTTAATCTGATGTGCAACATCACTATTTTCATTTGTGATAAGTGCATTTTTTCCGACGGTATATGCTAAACTTTCTCCACAGCCCCCAAAAAAGGGGGCGCTCGGCCCCAAATTTGTGCCTGCAGTGTGTAATTGGCAGAAGGTACCTTGCATAGTATCCTCTACCATCAGTGTATGACTGGGTGACTAGAAAAAGGCTATACAAGTACAGTCCATTTACCATTCATGAGTTTGTAATGTTGAAGATGGCTTTAACTAACCTTGTACCAGTAGAGGAACCTGAACTGTACACATTTTGTATTATATCGGATTACCAACATCTCCCCTCTGCTCACCATATTGCCCTGTCCTATACCCATGCCCCAAAACCTTTCTTGAGACAATGGCAGCCTTAGAGAGACAGTACGGTCAACCACATCAACTTGCCCTGGCCCAGATACAAACCATAATAAATTATTTTAGAGTAGCTTGTAGAGATGCTGCGGGGTCCTAGGACGTTGCAGTGAAGTCATTAGTCGGGATGCTACAGTCACTTAAATCCGGAAAAGGTACACCAGAACTATCCTGTGCTTTACATGTTCAGTAGTTGGTGAGTAAAGTCACTGTAGCGCTGAGCCTCTCCTAATGATCACTATAGTGGTCTTCTCTGCATGGCTTGAAGGAGAGGCGCAATGTCAAGCAGTTGTAACACAAGCCAACAACTTCCTAAATTAAAAAGAAAGAGACAAGTAAAAGATTTTCGTCAGCTACCATTGTCCTCTGGGATGATTGGAAGTCCCCATGTAGATACACTGCACTAGGACATCAGCCACAACCCCAAAATGAGGTGTCTGTGTGCATACTATCAATCAACCTCGAAGTGTGAAAGCTCAAAGAATTAAGAACTGATAAAGTGGTCAAATGGCTAAAGGAACATATCCAATGTAAGAAATTTGGTAGAACTCACAAAGCAGCAGATTTCCCTTTGGGAAAAAAAATGTCCCATGTGCAATGGCCTACACCTTGGCATAGTACATGATGTAAATAGAAACAGCATCTAGGATGGTGTGCATTAACCCACAAAGTATGTCACCCAAAGTCCTACTTAAAATTGTTAAAGTAACATTTTTCAACAAGAATAAGACATTTGATACTCATTAAATCCTAGATGATGGATCAGAACATACAATACTGCTACCAGATAGAGACACTAGAGGGAAGAACTGTAAACTTCAAACTATATGGTTGCTTATTTCCCTGAAAGAGAATTTGCATTTGACAGCACTTTCACTTCTGACATGTTTGTTGAGCAGAGTTACCCTATTCATAAACTCAAGCAAGGCTATCCACATTTACACTGTCTCCCACCAACAGTCCAGCTTGGTGTGTTTATTTTTTCAGTCGTCCATGAATTAAATTGTACCCTACGTAAGCAAAGGCCACATTCTTTTAAAAATCTCCATTCAATTCTCATACATTCGGAGCAACTTACTGTACTACATTTTGTGGTCGTAAATCTACTTTTACAATATCATGTCTCGGAAATGTTTATTAAATGGTACATTTTTTCTGATGAGATTAACAACGTAGTCTTAACAACTAAGATTGTGCCCTGTAAATAGAAACACAATACTACAATGGGTAAAAGAGAAGTTAGCCAGAAAATAATGTGTTTTCTTTGGGTAATATTTTTTAAGCCTTTCCATTAGTATTACTTACCACAGCAACAGCTTCTGAGGCCAGGAGCTCGTCTGCTGACATCACAGTGTAGTATGCCACATTGGTCAGCACGTAGCAGGAAGTCACAATCGCCATGGAGATACCGATAGCTAATGGTATAGTCCTGATGGCATGAGGGATATTAACAGAAGCAGTACTGTAATTGCTGTAATTCACTTATGCATCTCATTCACATTTTTGTCACCTCTGTTATGACCTCTGACTTTATCTTTATCTGTATGATATTCATCTAAATAAATCACTGTTGCTGGAGGAAATAAATGCACAGAGTTAACATATTTCAGGAGGGTATAACATAAATGATCAAATAAAAGCTGCTATTCAAATTGTGGTCTATCCTACACTGTTTGTGTCTCTCAGCCCCAAGCCCATTGGTTCCTACTGAAGACATGAACGAAATATAGATTTATTTTTCAAACAGATGACCACTGTACTTTTTAAAAAACGAAACTCAAAAATGAGGAAATTTAAATGAATTTGTTTTTTCAGTAGCGGACTAATTCACATTTGGTGCTCTAGTGAGTATTTGTTACAGCAGGATGGCGTGTGTGTGGGATTGAGTGAAACAAACTACAGTGTGTGTGTTCAAAGTAATGAAGATACATGTCACCCAGTACAGTGTGGCTAATTAATGTGTTTTTAGACAATAATGGAGCTCTACGGCACAACCGGATGAGATAGGCACACACAATACTTGTTAGTTTATTCACTGTGTGAATTGTTCACAGTACAAAATAATCATTTGTCTTTTTTTAGTTTGACTTTTGGTCTCTTTAGCTGCTAAATGCTCCCCTGTGTTCACCAGCAAGTGAAACACTTTTTCTTTTAGCTATTAGGCAGGTACTGTACAACGGGTTTTCCGTGAAAACAGCTACCTGCTGGTGGAAAACCAGGTTGATGAGAACCATGAGAGTGAACCAATTCAATAAAGTTGCAGACTTAAAACCAAAACAACAAGCTAAATTAGAGCTAATTAATACTGCCAAGCTGGAGATAGCTCTTTATGACTTTGTGCAACTACTGCTGAATTTAAAATCTGATGGAAAATATTTTCTTGTTTTCCATTGGGTTTTAAATTCAGCAAATATAGATAAACTATGCTGATACGGCCAATACATAGATTCAACTTACCGCTCAGGGTTATCTACCTCCTCTGTCAGAAAGTTCAAATAGAACCTGCAAAAGGAAACAGTTATTTTATAACCTCCAAGGATTAATGAATGGTAAATCATGTGCAATGTATACAGAACTGAAGTGAAGACATTCAAAATGATATGCATCAAACTGAGACCACTTAAATATCTAGTGTGTAGGATTTGGTGGCATCAAGAGGTGAGGTTGCAGATTGCAACCAACTGAAACCTCTCGTGAAAATGCCAACGGGCCTAACTAGTGTAAGGTTTGTCCGTTCTGGGCTACTGTAGAAACACGGCAGTCTGCATGAAGAGGACAAGCTCAGCCGCTGTGAAGCTGGAAGAAACTTTGGTGAGTTAGTTTTTGTTTCTTCAAGTTTGTATGGAATGTATTGTATGACAGCTTTGAGCTAATTGCCTGAGTAGGTTACTACATGAACACTCAACACTTAATACCCAAGACGTTTCCGGGTCCTTCTTTGCTCAGGTTTACATGCCTATTGTCAAAAAAATAGAGTTGAAGCCTAAGTTAACGTTTCAAGTCGTGTTTACTCCCATGAGATGGAGCTTTGACGCCGATGTAGGCCCCTGCATTGATTAAAAGGACAGCTGTTGTGTGAGACGTGAGAGTGAAAAACACTGTTACACTCTTGGTCTAGACGCGGGATAGCCAATTGTGGGTTGCCTTTGTTGAATAAAACATCCCAGCAGTGATCATTGCAGACACAATAAAGGATCCTCTGTCAGTGCTTTAATGTGTGGTATGCCACCTACACAGCAGAGAACAGGAGGTATTGGATGTCTAGTACTGATGAATGGATGTAGAGGGGAGCGGTGCAGGTGGAAGAGAATCAGATTTAAATTGAGCTGAGTTGAATGTGGGCTTAACAGAGATCGCTAAGACTGTTGCAGATGTAGAACAAATATGCCTAAGATGACCAGCGGCAGAGGACCTGGATAGTTTGGTCTAAGATGCTCTGAGACCTATCAGATGCAGAAAGAGCAGGTACAGGGGAAAAGACAAACTGGCCCCCACCAGGATGGGGGGTGATGATGAGGGCTGTGGCCGCTAAGGCAGCAGAAAGGCCTGTAATGTCATGCATAACAACACTGACTTGGTTGGTTCTAGTGAATCGAATAAGGTGACCATATTTTGGATGCGGGAGAGGGGGATACATTTCCCTTTCAGAAATCATTGGAGGCTGGTAACTTTCCAGTCTCTGATGCCGGACTCCATTTGTGGACGTGGATACGGCGGAATCGATAAGGTGGTAGCAATGCAAGCACTCCATGGGGGCCAGGGTTGTGGGTTGTGTACGGGCAGGAAGGAGGTTGCTGATAATCAGAGGTTGGTTGGCTATTACATTGGTGTATGCGGTTTTTGGCCATCGCTGATGGAGGGGTGGAGGCTTAAGATCTACCGGGAGTCTGAAAGATCTCGTAAGGACACCTTGAGTCTGACTGTTGTGTCATGGCTGCAGGATAATCGGTTTTGAACAGATTGTAAGTTTAGATGGCTTAGTTTAGATAATGCAATTAGGTGTGAATCACGGTCTCTCTAAGACAAAAAGGTCAGGATGGGTTGCCCAGGTATTAAAAAGCTTGACACGGGATGAGAGTGTGTGGTGTGTCTCTGTGTGAGGACCATACCTACCACCCAGCGTATGCATACATCCCAGAGTAGAAGGCTAGTGGCATTCCAGACAGCTTCACATTGCTCAGCTCAAAGGCATTCTCAAAGTTCTTGGTCTCTCCTACAAACACAAAAATGCATGCGCACACACACATTTCTATTTGTTGGCATTTTGAAGCACCATAATTGCTCCTAAATGAAGAGGGAATGTTACAGCAATTGAATGATTTGTGTAAATAGTTCCTACACCAGTAGTGGTCATAGCCATAACAATAACAATAGTAACCATAAAAGTAATTTCAACAATAAAACAGATGAATGCAGCAGTACTCTGCCTTATTAGCTTGGAGAAGTAGATTCTTCTGTACAACAAAGGTACTTCAGGCAGATTTAATCACTGTCAATGTAATCAGTGTTTTATATAAGAGCTCACATTTACGGACAAAAACTGCTCATGCAAACACATAAAACACAATGATTTCACACTAAAATGTTGAGAGGCATGAATTGTTTGTAATGAGCACTCTGTGAAGACATGCAGAGGTGAATACACTACACCCCTTAGATTGTGTTAAAAGTAGTTGGCTGTTTCTGAAGTGAAATTAAACTCTATCAGGAGTACAGTTTTTGATAACTCATACTCTCAAATTAATAATTCATACACACTAGTTAAAGCAATATTAAATAGTAAATATATACAGTTTATTCAGCAGTTGGTTTGAATATCTGCATGTTAGAGATATCCAACTATGCTACTGTATGCCAAGGAACCGTGTTCCCAACAGGGGCCTGATCCACATAGAATCATGTATGGGCATAAAATCAAAATAAACACCAATAAACCTCTAAAAACAGAGGCAGAAGCCTGGTCATCTGTGCTGGGGCCTTTGTTTACCTTTAAATGCAGATTTTAAATGAACAATTTTTCATTATAATCCTTTTTATGATGGAGGGTCATAGGATGAATACAGATGATGTAGTCATCAGGATCTGTTAATGTTATTGGCTTTAGCTGGTCTGCAGAAATGTGTATGATAATTAACTGAAGTCATTTTGAGTAATATTATATATGATATGTAATATCAATTCCAGTAGAGGTGAACGAACATTCACCAAAATTGCATGTGTACTAGTGTACTTTATAAGCAGATTTAAAAGTGAGGTCCATAGCTGAAGACGGTGTCCATGTGCTGTGATGTAGGGCCACTTCTAACACCAGCAGTGAAGACACTGGGAAATGCCTGAGCTCTTGCTGTGAGCAGCTGTGTATCACGGACTGCAAGGCTTCAAGGTTATATTTTTAGTACATGTTGCTGTTGTTTGAGACAAAGAAAGCTATGTTAATTGTACAGCTGAAAATTCAGTGTGAAGTCTGACAATGTTCCTGAACAACAGTAACATGGTTGAAACATTAACATTAACATGTAGTTTATTACTATACTCCTTATATAAATCTTGCACAGAGCTTCTGCAAAGCTGCAGTGATGATTTTCATAGCTAGCCAAGCTTGCAGAGCTGTAGAGATGTGCTGCGCACCTCCATAAAAATGTGACTATGCGTCAGACATAGTGATAAAGAATACACATTGGGGCCAGACTTCCTAACCAGATGAAGCCTAGGTGCTACTTCAGGCCCCTGCTGTGTCGACCCCTTGATTGACCAAATGCCAACTGTATGTCCTTCCTGCAGGTCTGAATGTGAATGCCCCGGTTCCTGCCCATTGTCATAGTCCCCCCTTACCTCTGTCTTCTAGTATTTACATACAGTCTAATCCAGGGGTGGGCAAACTTTTTGGCTCGGGGGCCACATTGAGTTTTAAAATTTGACAGATGGACCGGGCCAGTAGCAGATGAATGGAGTGTTTGTGTGAACTAATATATAAATTACAAGTAAAAGCCATGACCTAAAAAGTAACTTGCATTTAATTTCAGTGGGAACAGTGTTGTTGGTCACCCTTTTTAACCAGTGCATCAACATTTGGTGTCAGTTTGGTTGTGGCAATTCTCAGAACAGATCTGAGGTGTTCATCAGTTAGCTGGGATCTTACACTGTAGTTGTTTTATTGCATTAATGCACATTTTATCATGCACTTACTTATTAAGTAGTCATTTTTGACACAGTGTTTCTAGTGTAAAGGTTAATGACTGTGGTTTTTTCAGCAGTTTGATTCATTGACCAGATCATACACATATTTGACTGTTGAATCTAACATTATCAGAGGTCTGCTCTGTAATGTCTTTCCTTGTCTCTCCCCCCCGTGTCGCGGTGTGGGTACATCTCACTGGCGTCAGGAAACGTATCAGAATACCCTTATTTTATTGGCTAAACTGCATCACGTGACGTGATTTACAACGCATTGGTCGGTGTTTTTCCTGCACCGCTGAACAAGTGCATTAAATGCTGGAAAGGAGCGTGAATAACTCCGCTTCATAAAGCAAAGGCCCGCGACCCACTGAAAACGGGTCCGCGACGAACCACCAGTTGAGAATCACTGGTCTGCAGGATCGTGACGAGCGGTGAACAGCTGCTTGTGTGGCGTGTCTTCCGTTTCTTCCCGTTTCCTTCAAACTACATTCCCCTGGGTCCTAAGCCCCTCCCTGTACAGCTTCTTATCACCTCTTTGCACCAATGTACATTTATAACAAATACCACACATATTACACGGTAATCAGCGTTGCATATGTGTTAAACTCTATCGGTGCATCTCCGGTCTGTCTTTGTTCATCCTGCATCGCTCTGTTCTGTTCTTTAATGTAACGTAACTGGAGCGACGGAGCCTCTCCCAGCTGATAGCAGACTGTTGTGCTAGCAAGCAGGCTCGCTCGGGAGCTGTACCCAGCATGCAGTTCGGCGGTGAGGTTTTATAAATGTACAATTATTAGTGTTACAAATTGTTTATGTGTCACAGACTGTTGTGTGCTGTGGTGTTTTTCTCTGTTAAAGAGCGTTAGTTGTGGGTTATTAATTGTTGTGTTATAAAGTTATGACCATGACTAGGGTTCCCTCTCAATACATATACAAAAACTAGCGACAGCGGCAAACAATACATTTAGCTGCCTGTTGAAAGCAGACAGCAGTTGTTTCGGCTATGCACCGGTGTAATGGTGTGTGAAGAATTCATATCATACTGAAAATTAAAACCGGTATACTGCCCATCCCTAGTCTTTATTGTAGTTTGGAGAATTTTGTACCAATATTTGACGGGCCGGATTAAAAAGCCCAACGGGCCGTAGTTTGTCCATGCCTGGTCTAACCACTGATCTGGCTCCCTGTATAAAATGCTTCTTTCTTCATTTGTGCAGGGGTCAACTCACCGGCTCAGATCTGCTCTGTGTCTGTGAGGTCACCAGTATACCGGTATGCTTTATTGAACTCACAACACCACAGCAACTTCTGAACTGGACTTGAATGATTTCTTCAACAATTGTCATATGTCAGACACCACTGACATCTGATTGGACATAAGAGCCGGAAGGCAGTATTTCAGCAGTTACTTAGCAATCAAATGAATCAAAGACTGTCTGACAAAGGATTGAAAACCGCAGATGCAAATCTAAGAGAAATGACATGCTATGTGTAAACCACAGCAGTACTATGTATGCCTGGAGTGCACAAGACATGCAAGTGCCAGCCTGCACTGTGGCTCAGAGGAAGCATGAGTCATCCTCAAAGGCTGTGCCTACAGTGTATGTGTGGGGTATGAATGAGGTAGTTAGTCCTAATGGGCTGGTGGCACCTTGCATGGTAGCCCCTGCCATCAATGTATAAATGGGTGAGAAAGCGCTTTGAGTGGTCAGAAGACTAGAAAGGCTCTATACAAGTTTCAGTCCATTTACCATTTGCAACCGTAGGATCATGAATTAGGCATAACACCTCATTTCCACTGCATGGTTCGGCTTGGCTCGGCTCGACTCAACTCGGCTCACTTTTTGTATCAGGTCCTATTCCCTATTTCCTTTTTCACTGCGGATAGTACCCCCTCAGTGTATTCGGGATCCTCAGCTGAAGGCAGCATGAAACTGCCCTGACATCACCTACAATACGACACTGGCTGAATCTTTTCATCAGCAACTAAACAGAGGACAATCTTTGTCAGTTGTTCGGCAAACTTTTGCAGGCTTTTTTAAAATTTAGGTTGAGTGAAGAAAAACAACTGAGGTCACTATTGACATTAGCTTAGCTATTTTAAAATGGCCAGTTTGTGCAGAACGTTCCGTGTCGTAATCGTGACAAGTCTTTATGAACAATCAGTGATCTGCAGTGATTTGACTCCACCTTCTAGTATCGGTGAAACATACCACCAACATAGTGACATAAATTACCATCCACACATTTTGCTAATGAAAAACCAAAAAAGAGCAAGTCGAGTTGAGTACAGCCGGTATATATCTTGGAGTATATGGGCTCTAGAATAATACTAATAGATTCTACTAGAGGTGGTGATGATAGTGATGATGATGGTGTCTTACCCTTAAAGAGCTGGTACATTCCAGGTACTATGATCATGCTGATGGCCAGCAGCTTGCTGAAGGTGAGGAGGATTTGAATCCTCGCTGTCCATGTCACACTCATACTGTTCAGGTACATAACAGAAGCTACAGGGACAGAGAAAGACAGACAGGACTTAGGTTGCTATTGGGGAATTTTATAGCACACAATTTATGGCCAGTGACAACATTCAGTGCCAATGCAGCAAGTAGTGTGTCCTTCAATAAGCAAATCAGAGAGTTAGGTAGGTTAAGATGGTGAGTGGGCATGGGCGGGTTTGGCTTAAATGTGTAGACTTAAGTTTGTGTCTTAACACAGTTTAACAGTTCATGTTTGAATCTTTTTAACCGTAAATCTAATCTTTGCCTCAATTTAACCAAGTGGTTTAGTTGCCTAAGGTTACCCATAGCTCGTAGAGGAAATAGAACTTTTGAAAACCTAAAGACCTGATCAAACCACAACCAGTACTTTGGTCCACATGATATTGTCTTTCTTGTGCTGAGTTGTCTTGTTTCTTGTGCCTACTCTTGCACTGAAATAGTATGGACATGGCATGGACTGGGGCGACTGTGGTAGAGCAGGGTCGTCCTTCAATCAGAGGATCGGCGGTTCAATCCCTGGCTCTGCTAGTACCATGTCGATGTGCATACGGAGTGTGAATGTAGTATAAATGTTAGATAGTCCTGATGGGCAGGTGGCATACGTCAGTGTATGAATGGGTGTGAATGGATGAATGATGACATGTAGTGTTAAAGAGCTTTGAGTGGTAGACTAGAAAAGAGAAATACAAGTACAGTCCATGTACCATTTTTCCGTTGATCCGATCAACTATTCTATTGGATTCTGAGAAAGGAGCTGAGAAAATGTGATATTGAAGGAAAGAAATGTATCCATGCACTGGATCAAAGCTGCCAAAACCAGTGGATTTGTCATTGTATAATGTGTCACTCTTTTGAAAATATCTGGAATCAAAGATTTTGTATAATCTTTGTGATTTCTGTGACATATTTGCAACAAATTCCGTTTTTGATAATGTGAGAAAGTCAGAATATTCATTATTATCCTGCATCTGGCCTAACTATAGGAGTGTGCACATAACAACCTATGATAACCCTAACCCTACATCATTATTCAGCCAATTCAAAATTAAAAACGCATGCGTGAATGTGGCTTTATTATGCTAGAAATTACCATGGGAAGATTTGGTTTTGAGGCAGCAATGTTAGCTATCCAACAACAGCAAATTTCACTCTAGGTTGTATTTTACTTAACAGCTGCGGTACTGTCTATGTATTGATTTAATGCACAGGTTACCTAAGAAAAGATAGTCCTGGGTTTGTTTTCATGTGGACAGCTGACATCATCCTCTCTTTAGCAGAATGTAACTAAGTTCATTTACTCAAGTACAGTACAATTCTGAGATACAATTATGTTGTTATAGAATGAACTACCAAACTATATATTTAATAGTTCAAATAAGTCCCAACTCAACCACATACAACAGCAAAATGCTAAAGACTCAGGAATATAATAATAAAATGAAATACATTTGAATTAGTGGCTGTACGTGGTTGATGGTTGTAATGAGTGAATGCATTTTCTTGTTGTGATCTTGTGTGTATAACATTTGTTCTCAGGTCTCTTTTGTAATAGACATCTTGATCTTACCAACAGTTCCTTAATAAATAAAGCTTAACTTACTGACTATCACACTCATGGGGGTCACTATTTTTCATACTATGTACTTTTCTTTCTTTTTTTTTACATTTTGTTTATGATACTTCTGTCCTTTGAAATAAGATAAAATGAAATAAAACATTTTTAATCCGTAGGCAAATTGTAGAAAACAGAAAAAGACAGAGAGCAGCTGCTGCTGGCTGCCGCTCATTTATCGCTGGAGTCAGAATTGTATGAAGTAAAACTTTGAATGCACAACTTTTACTTGTGGAGTTTTTTCACTAAGATAATTATTTCCGGCATGTCTGCTTCATGTGATAGATAAATGCTGGAGAGAGAGAGAGGGGTTGACTTGCAGGAAAAGGCCCTGGTCCACTTCAGCCAGGACTAAGCCTTAAAGGTTCGAGCTCTACCCAGTGAGCTACCAGGCTGCCCCTTGATGGAGTATTTTTTACATTGTAGCATTGCTACTGTTAATTAAGTAAAGGACCGCAGTATCTCTTCCACCACCGTCTTCCTCCTCCTTTAGAGACGTGCACATGTCCTGTCATTTACAGATAGGATTCAACAGATCAAAAGGATAATATCCTGACATATTGCCACACCGATGTATTAATGGTATACATACTTATGCCGATGGCGGTGGCCAGCTTGACAGCCATGGGGGGGATTGCACAGGGCATGAACAGAGGCTCCAGGATGTACTGACCAAAGGCCAGAGAGATGACTGCCATCGCTGCAGGCCTGGAAGAAACACATACAGAGATGGACGAAGAACATTAGTCAATACTCAGGTCTATGGAGCGTCTTAGCACATGGTTTTGGTTGTACAGCCCCCAACTTCAGTGAGAAAGCTCTGATAAATCCAAAGTACTCTGTTAGAGACTCGCTGATAAACATAGTGGAGCATTTAGCATCTACAGAGCTGGGATGTTATTTTCTCAGGAGTTGGTAGCGACCAAATGCAGAGCTACAAGATAGAGAATATTGGACTTATATTTATTAGGTGGACACACAAGGACTCCAAATGTATTTATCTATTTATTCCGTTATTTAACCAGATAAGTCAATTAAGAACCAGTTTACATTTCCAATGACAACCTGGCCGAAAAGGCAGGTGGCAAGTCGTTATAAGACAAAATAAAACATAGATACATCTCAAACAATGTCATACAAAAAATGAATAATAATGTTGCAGTCTGGTGGATTTGTAAATAGACAGCTGGCTGCAGACAGACAGCTTGATTCGCGGTTCTATTGTTGTAGCTTTCATGTACACATGTGTGCAATGTAAATATAAAGTTTAGTGTAAATATCTTTTCCATACACTTTTCAGTGTTTAGTTAAACATTTAAATTCTACATGTGTACAATATACATGCATATAGGAAATACTTGACCTGACCGAGTTGCGCTATCCATGATACTGAAAGAGGGATTTAATTCTGGGATGTTAAATGAGCATTTCACCTTTGGTTTTGTTGTGTATGATCACATTCCATTTGTGTCCACATGAGGGGAGAAGGCAAGAGAGTGAAAAAATCACGCTACTGGAAGGATTAAAAAAATGTAAATTAATTAAAATATACCTGCAAATGCAGTGGTTAAGTTCAAGTTCCCAAGGTGTTTTATTAAAGTCCACAAGTTCACTTTACAAGCTGAAAGAAACAGCTTAACAGGCTTCATTGTCTATGAAGGCCACTGTTGTTTCAAAAACACGTACATCTGCGTGGCTGAGTTTTACTAATCACACACAGACTGTGGAAATAATCAGACACCCGTGTGTACGTGCATCTTGTCCTCTATGATCTTTTCTAAGTGTGTGTGTGTGTATGTGTGTGTGTGTGTGTGTGTGTGTGTGTATTATCCAATGGTCAGTGTTTCCCTCATTTCCCACAGCAGCCACTGAGCTGCTAAAGCCATGGACATCTCTCTTTGTCTCCCTCATTCTTGTTTTCCTTCTCTGCCTCTGTCTCTGTTCATTTCCCATGGCTTCCATTGAGTCCCACTAGCCTGAGGCCAGCATAAAATTGGACAGCTTAGGATAGCCACTGGACTGTTTATACTATTCGACTTGGCTGTGTACATAGACAGCTGCACACATGGCCTTTTCTCACCTCACCAGCCTAAACTAAACTCAGTAGCTCACCTCACAAGGTCGCGGCCAGATAGGGCTTTTATTTGCCTGGTGTGCTGGGCTCTGTCACCCAACACAGTCTAATAGATTTGCACCTGCGGTTTTCAATCCTTTGTCAGACAGTCTTTGATTTATTTGATTGCTGTACCAAGAAGTAATTAGGTTCTTGTCTGCTCTGGTGTAAAGAAAGTGTGTTTGGAACACATCTGGAAAGGAATTATGCTGCAGTGATTTGAAACGCATCTACTCAATTAAGGCCATTAGAAGCCATTATAAGTGCCAACTGTGTCTAGCTGTTGTTCGTGAATCTGTTATTCCTGAGATACCTGAGATAGCAAGAAGGCGCGAATGATTTGCATGACGCTGTTTTCACAAATGCCTATCTGCGTCAAGATTTTCCTCCTGTCATCACTGACGTCCTGACATTGTTGCATCAGAAACGGATGTAGCCGTAGGTGTTCCCTGTTCCTCCTTTTTATCCATTTATTGCAATCAAAGTATAAGTGTCGAGTTGGATCAGAAAGTGGCACAGTGAAATACTTCCACTCGTCTTCACTGGACAGTTAGTTAACACACTTAATTCAAGGGAATGTATGCGTACCACTGACTCCTGACTCCTGTACTGACAAGACAATTTGCAATTTGGCAAATTTATATGATTTGTGTGAGTTTACCAAAGTTGAACAGTACAGGGAAGCTTTGTATCGATGCACTTCATCCACTGTTCATGCAAAAGTTGTGACAGTGAACATAATAGATAACAGCTGTAAACACCATTAGCATTCATTTAGATTGGTGCTACGGGCCAATTACAATATAAGTCCAATATTCATCCTCTTTTAGCTCTGATTTGGTGTTCATCAATTCCTGAGGAAAAATATCTGTCCGTCCAGGCTGATAAGATCACCGAGAATGAACAAAAACAGTAAAGTTCTGGGCTGTCAAACCAAAGCGACGAGCTGATGAATAAGAAAAGGCTCAGTAGAACTGAGGGGACCTGCAGAATAGGATGATAATTATTACAATGTACAAGGAGTACATTTACAATGTACTCCTTTAACATGACATAATTTTCCGTATGCTTTTTTAAAAATCCGTCATCCGATAAAAATCATCACGTACAGAGACCTTGCACACTGAGTCTGATTGATTTTATTATTCTATTTGTGGCGCAGAATTCACAATACAAAACAAAAAACTTAACCTAACCCTAATTAATAAGATGGGTGCAATGGATAGTGCTAGTCCCAAATGGGGCTAATGAATCAATGACATAGCAGGAAGCGTTTGTTTAGTGGCCAAGAGATTACTAATGTCTTTGGGCCATCCTTTTTTTTCCGTGACCATTCCACACAATTTTGGATAAAGAATTCAGATTTCAGTTTTGCACGTGAAGGACAGCCTCTAGTTATGAAAGGAGTAAAGAAGGTAGGCAGGTATGTATGTAGTATAAAGAGCAACAAAGTAAGCGTAGGGACACAGGACTTTCACCCAGGAGGACGGTGACTTATTTCAAATTACATATGTAAGTTACTTGTGTAACAAACTTAAGTTACATATGTAAGTTAAAAAACATACACAGGATTTACACCCACAAGACAAAACAAAACCTTAAGGCTAACTTATTTTAACTTACATGCATACTTACGTAACTTACAAAAACAAATGTAGTTATTTTAAAACAAACCATGATCTTTTCCTAAACCTGACCGTGTAGTTTTGTTCAAATTCACAACGGTAACCACAATGAGGTCTATCGGACGACCCTGCACATTAGAAAGATTACGCTAAAGGGTACTCAGTGTGTTAAAATTGATGCCAAGGGGTCCTGGCCAAGCATCCGTATGTGACGAGTTGGGAAGAGAACATATTGATTTGATCCATTGTTAGTATAAAAAGATATGTATGCACTTTTTAAGTTAGGCTCAGTAAACTTGAGGTAAGGAGGCAGACATTACCTTATAGCTATGAGATCAGCCCATAGTCTTATGAATGCCATCTGAGGTCCAAAGGCTTCCAGTATATATGTGTAGTGTCCACCAGACTTCTTAATACAAGTCCCCAGTTCAGCGTAGCACAGGGCTCCTGCAGGGACAGAGGTGACTGATTAGCTCTGGCTCTGAAGCAAGAAGGCCGGCACACAACAGTCCCATGGCTGTTTAACTGTGTCGGCCACATCTATAGAAATGTACAGTCCCTCTCTGGCCCCCACAATCACCCAGATATATGACTGTGGGAGCCTTTCAGGATCTCAACCCATAACTTAAGAGAAACAGATTTAGGTGGACAAATTTTAATTACAAGTTCAGGGAATACAAATTAAGGGAAGCTGAAAAGGGGTTAAGGAAGGGTATTTAGGGATAATGTGCTTGGACTTTTCATTACTGTGCAAAAACTGAAAGATTTAGGGATACTGCAACAATATATGCTAGAATACACAGATGTGCACAGCAACACTTCAGCACTGCCTCCTCCAGCACCAGTGTTTCAACTCTAACTCCACGAAATTACTTTTATATTGTTCTATAATGTTTTCCCAATTACACTGTGGTGACAAACCTAATCGCTGCTTGTCTTGTATTTTATTGATTGGAGTGAACAGAAGTAGGTTTGGGTGGATGGAGGTTGTAGAAAGACACCACAGATCAGTTCAGACCAGATCAGATTTGTTTTAATCAATCTTAAAAGGTACAAAACTATTCTGATACCACCAGAAGCCAAGGTGAAGTTCAGTGTTTTTTGTGCGTACTTATTTAACAATAGTTAGTGTTACTATTTGCATCCTTATTAAATGTAGTCAGTGTGTAGTTACAAATATTAAGTTAAAGACATTACCAGCTTGGTGGAACATATTTATGTTTTTTTAGAAAAATGATCCATTTCTCCTTTTTAAAATATTTTTACAAAAGCTGTACACTAGCGGTAATCAACTACATTAATCCAAGGGCCAGAACTTTCCAAGCAGACACTGTAAACTCACAGCAACGCTGACCCTATATGCCTGATTAGCAATGAAGCAATTGCTATTGCAAAAGAAGTCTTGGTCATCATTGATGACTATTCACGCACAACCAGCAAAGCAAGCATAGCTTTGTGAGTGAGGTAGGCCTGACTCCTGCATCACATTGTGTGGCTACTCAGATTTATAACATAAATCATTCCTAATAAAGTTATTTACATATCAACTGTTTTAGGGGCTGATTCAATACATGGAAATGGACTTCTGTTTATTTAGTTATTTATTTAGTAATCGGTGTACAGACAGTGAACATGTTTTGTAACTTTCACCTCCACCAACACTTTTCCCATTCAATGTTGCTACTCTCAAAATAAGAAAAGACATATTTTTCATCTACTGATCCACCTGTGAACCAACTCACCGAACAGGGACAGCACACCGCAGGCGATCCACACAATGAGGGACATTCCTACACTGCCTGAGTGCTTCAGGATGCCTTTTGGAGAGATGAAGATCCCGGCACCGATGATGGTGCCGATGATGATGGATATTCCTCGGAGCAGGGTCACCTTTTTCCCCAGTCCCACCTTCCTGTCGTCCTGGTCCTGCATTTTTCCATCGGGATCTGACTGGCTCTCACTTTTGGAAACTTTGTGTCCACTTTGTGTCCACTTTTCCATCTTTTTGAGTAGATTCTGACCTTTTGGTCATTTTTTGAACACTTCCTAACACTGAAAACCACACACAGTCCGTCTCCCTTGGAATAGAGTCAAAGTGTATTTCACCTGGAATCTGTCCCTCTAGTGTAGCCTGGAACCACTCAGCCTGTGTGACTGGTGCAAGCAAAGTTGCAAAATACACACTCACACTCACACACACTCTCTCTCTCTCTCTCTCTCTCTCTCTCTCTCTCTCTCTCTCTCTCCTGGTCTCACTCACTAATATACCACTGTAAAGCCTTGGAGGCTTGCTCTTCCCCTTTCTGACTTCAAACTGTTTTCCTCTTTTACCTCTTTCTCTATAATTTGCTCAAGGGGACGGGTTATTTGAGTGTAAGGCAATCATGACACACCAAACAGGATTTCACTCATAACTGATTTCTCACAGATTACTTTGCATTATGTTGGGGTGTGATGTAGTATGTTAGAAGCAATAGAATCTGGGCAAGTGGCAAACCCTCCATACTCGATTTACATGGAACGTGAAAGAGATCCACTCCAGCAACACACACATCACACCAGTTCAATGCTTTAAGTACTGCCCCTATTCACATGTTGGCATGTGTATCGGCCGGTATCAGCAATATATACTGTATATAGCAATATGTGTGTAGGGGGTGGGAGGTTTTATTCGTGATTGCCAGCAGTTTTGCCAATATTCTGTCCTCTGCCAACTCCCCCAGCGTGTCCAGCTTGCAGCCAATGACAGACCCAGCCTTCTTTATGAGTTTATTCAGACCTTCTGGATAAGGTGGGGTGTTCCTCTTTCTAAAATCCACCACAATCTCCTTTGTTTTGGCCACACTCAGCTCCAAGTGGTTTTCCCCACACCACTGAACAAAGCGGTCCACCTGCCTCTATACTCCTCCCCCTGGCCAACTTCCACACCCCCCACATTGGCAGTGTCAACAGTAAATGTATGAAGGTGACACAATTCAGAGTTGTCTTTAAAGTCTCATGTGTAGATGTTAAACAGGAAGAGGGATGATACAGTTCCCTGGGGGGCTCTGATGTTACTCACCAGAGGGGCAGACACAAAGTTCTGTAGCCTCACAAACTGCAGTCTGCCAGTCAGGTAGTACCGGGGCCATGAGACTACGTGGCTGATACACAAACTGCAGGAGATGGCCCCACCACTGGTCTGAGGTATGCTAGGATGAGACTTTTATGATGTGACAGGTTAGTGCTATTGACCTGTAGTAATTTAGTTCTGTGAGACGCCCCTTTTCAGGCACTAGAGCCAGGCATGATGTTTTCCATAGCACAAGGACTTTCTTGAGGTACAGGTTCATGTTGAAAAGGTGCTTGACTACTCCACATAAATGGTCAGCACCCACCAACAGCACCCTGGGTCTGATGCCATCCGGTCCAGCAGCCTTACCCAGGTAAAATCTCTCCAGCTGTCCTCACCTGGGTGAGAGTCTGCTATAAGTTTCAGCTATAAGTTACAACAGGCCACAACATGCTGACATGTTGCTATTATGTGGGGGCTGCTAGAAGTGGGGGTAAAAAAGGACAAGTCTGTTGAAAAACTGAGTCACCTGACCTCATGCCTTCTTCTATTCATTGAGTAGGGCCTTCAGAGCGCAGGGTTTGTTGTTCTAGTGAGTGAACGAATTGAATGATCTTGTTATTATGTGTGGTTCTTATGTGTGGTCAACATCTTGAAACCAGACAGGCAACTGATTACCTGCAAAGTGTAACTAGATAATTTCACTAGTGGACTGCTTTCAATTCATTCATCTTCAGACATTATCTGACAAAAAGCTTCTGTGTGGTCACACTACCTCAAACAGTGGCCATTCATCATGATCTTTCACCACATATTTTTATTTTCTATTCTGTAAATAGTTTTCTAATCTAACTGTGGTGGCCATTTGTCGAATAACTCAAAATAAAACAAACAATAATCAAACGCCACTGATGCACCGTGGTTGATTTGTTACACAGGCAGAAGAGAGTAGATTGTCCATGCAGGATTCTGATTTTTCTTCTTTATTTAGGTAAGTCAAACAAAACAAGCAAACAAACAAAAAGAACAAAGAAAACTCCTGTCTTACGCTGTCTCCCCTGTGTTGGTAAAAACTATAAGCCCACCCCGGTGCATGCTGGTCCTATCTATCTACTCCTATATATAGCCACAGGTGCCCACAGTTTTTACCCAAACAACAAAAGATAATATAACTAATCAAATGACTATTAAAGAGAAAAAGCAATCTTAATATATCAAACAATCAATCTAATGAAATAATTAAACAATACTACTTATTAATTAAATAACAAAATACTAATATCAAATAAATCGCTCCAACGTTCCGGCCCCTAATTGTGCATACTATCACAATTATTCTTATTCTCAAACAAGCTATTCCTACAACATAAACATGACATGAAATATGATATATCTATGTGCCATGCATTAACCTTAAGTGAATCTTCTTCTTGATACACCTACGACAAAAAAGAATAGAGAGAGAAATAGAGGTAGGGAAAGAGGTGGAGAAAACATCAGTCCACGATGCTAGACTGCCGCTTCCAATAGCAGACAGAGCTTCATCACCGGCCTCTCCAGAATGCTGGTCCTGGTTTGAAGTCGCACAGAGCGCAGCAGCCTCTTTGCATCTGGTCTTGCATCCAAAACTTTCCCCATCATCCAAGATCCTCTTAGAGCTGTGGAGTCCGGAACAAGGACAATGTCTAGTGAGGCTTCTTCTTAGCCTTGTCCATTTTTGTCTCTCTTGCATCATAGGTAGGTACTCAGAGATCCATCTCTTCCAGAAGAGTTCAGCCATGTACTGTGTTTGCTTCCACCTTTTCCTGATGTATAGATCACTTTGATCAAATAGTCCTGGTGGCATGATTGGTTTGTCCTTTAACATTAGAATGTGGTTTGGTGTGAGAGCTTCAAGGTCATCTGGGTCATGTGAGACTTTTGTGATGGGTCTGTCATGTAGAATTGCTTCAACCTCACAGAAAATGGTCTGGAGCCCTTCATTGTCCAGAATTTGCTGTTGAAGAGCTGAGGTGACACCTTTCACTGAACCAATCAGGCGCTCCCAGATGCCGCCTTGATGTGAAGCTGCTGGTGTGTTAAAGTTCCATTTTATGCCATCCTGGACCAAAGCCCTTTGAATTTTGCCATGATTCAGAACAGCCAGACTTTCCTTCAGCTCTCGGTTGGCTCCAACAAAGTTTGTGCCATTACCTGATAGTGGAAACTGCACCTCTTCTACAGATGAACCTCCGTACTGTATTTATACAGTACGGAGTACGGAGGTCTGTGTCCAGTGTATTTGACCCTTCCAAGTGCAGAGCACAACTGGTAAGACAAGTGAAAAGCACTCCATATATCTTAAGAAGACTTCTTCCTCTTTTGACATTGATGGGCCCGAAATAATCAACTCCAACATTTGTAAAAGGAGCTTTATCAGGCAACAGTCTCTCCTCCAGCAAGTCTGCCATCTTTAGTTCACCAAGCTTTCCTCTGTTGCGTTTAGGAGTGGGGACAAGGACTTGTACAAAGAGTCAAAGTACAGGTTTAGCAAGGCGGTGAGAGATGCTTTACGACTGTACTCTGAGAAACTGCAACATCAGCTCTCAGCCAATGACTCTGCTTCTGTCTGGAGAGGTCTCAGACAGATTACCAACTACAAGCCAAAAACCCCCCACTCCATGAACGACCTCCGCCTGGCAGACGAGCTGAATGAGTTCTACTGCAGATTCGAAAGACAATGGGACAGTCCTGACTCCATCCCCCACAGCCCCATCAACCAGCCCCAGACCACCAGCCCCCCCTCCCCCAGCTCAGCAGGGGCCCATGCCTCTGTATCACCCATCCCAGCCCCCCCCCCTCCCCAGTGACGACTCTCTCTGTTCTGGGGAGTGACGTCAACAGGCTTTTTAAAAAACAGAACCCCCGCAAAGCAGCCGGCCCAGACTTGGTCTCCCCCTCCACCCCGAAGCATTGTGCTGATCAGCTGTCTCCGGTGTTCACAGACATCTTTAACACCTCCCTGAAGACATGCCACGTACCAGCCTGCTTCAAGGTCTCCACCATCATCCCTGTCCCTAAAAAACCAAGGATCACAGGACTCAATGACTACAGGCCCGTCGCCCTGACCTCTGTGGTCATGAAGTCTTTTGAGCGCCTTGTCCCTCACCCTCACCGACCCACTCCTGGACCCCCTGCAGTTCGCCTACAGAGCCAACAGATCTGTAGATGACGCAGTCAACATGGCCCTTCACTTCATCCTCCAGCATCTGGACTCCCCAGGAACCTACGCCAGGATCCTGTTTGTGGACTTCAGCTCTGCTTTCAACACCATCATCCCGTCTCTGCTGCATAGCAAGCTCTCCCAGCTGCAGGTGCCCGACTCCACCTGCAAGTGGATCACAGACATCCTGTCTGACAGGAAGCAGCACGTGAAGCTGGGAAAGCACGTCTCAGCCTCCAGGACCATCAGCACCGGTTCCCCCCAAGGCTGCGTTCTTTCCCCTCTGCTCTTCTCCCTGTACACCAACAGCTGCACCTCCACTCACCAGTCCGTCAAGCTCCTGAAGTTCGCGGATGACACCACCCTCATTGGACTCATCTCTGGTGGGGATGAGTCCGCCTACAGGTGGGAGACTGAACATCTGGTGACCTGGTGCGGTCTGAACAACTTGGAGCTCAACGCTCTAAAGACAGTGGAGATGGATGTGGATTTTAGGAAGAACGCAGCCCCACCAGCCCCTATCACTGTGTGTGACTCCCCCGTCGACATGGTGGAGTCCTTCCGCCTCCTGGACTCCATCATATCCCAGGACCTCAAGTGGGAGCTGAACATCAGCTCCATCACCAAGAAGGCTCAGCAGAGGATGTACTTCCTGAGGCAGCTGAAGAAATTCATCCTGCCAAAGTCAATGATGGTGCATTTCTACACAGCCATCATTGAGTCCATCCTCTGCTCCTCCATCACGGTCTGGTACGCCCCAGGACATTTCCTTCTGGGCTCTCTCCCCTGCACATCCCTGTTTCTTTATTTAAACACTCTCGTCTCTTTTAATATTTCACTTACACTTCACTTGTTTTACAGTCCTGTTATCTGTTTTGTTGTGCACTTTATTTTATATTTTATATTTTATTGTAAATTTTAATATCTTT